ATGGGGCTTTGAAAGAGAGAAAGGAAAAAAAAAAAAAAAAAAAGCAAGGCTAAATGGTTACCCTAACTGATACTTCTGGGGCTTCCTGGCTGCCAGATGTGTTTTTGTTTTTGTTTTTTTACTCTACCTCTTCAAGTTTTTTTTTTAAATTGCAGGATAATTGCTTTAAAGTATTGTGATGGTCTCTGCTATACATCAATGTGAGTAAGTCATAACTGTACATATAATCTCCTTGCTCTTTAGCCCCTCCCCTCATCCCACCCGCTTCGGTCATCACAGAGCGCCAGGCTAAGGTCCTTGTGCTATATACAGCAGCTTCCCACTAGCTGTCTGATTTATACATGTTGTGCTTGCTTATTGCTCAGTCACGTCCAACTCTTTGCAATTTCATGGACTGTAGCCCGCCAGGCTTCTCTGTCCATGGGGTTTCTCCGGGCAAGAATATTGGAGTGGGTCTCCATGTCCTCCTCCAGGGGATGTTCCCAACCTAGTGACTGAACCCAGGTCTCCCGCATTGCAGACAGTTTCTTTCCCATCTGAGCCACAAGAAAAGCCCGTTTTGTACATGGTAGTGTATATATGTCAATGCTTCTTTGTCAATCGCCCTGCCATTGTCTCCTTCCCCCACTGTGTCCACCAGGCCATTCTCTGTCTGCTTCTCCATTTCTTCTGTGTAAATAGGCTTGTCAGTGCTATTTTTCCTAGATTCCAGAAATATGCATGTATTATGTGATACTCATTTTTCTCTTTCTGAGTTACTTTACTCTGTGTATCAGGCTCTAGGTTCATCCACCTAATTACAACGGACTCAAATTCATTCCTTTTTATGGCCGAGCAATAGTCCATTGTGCATATGTACCCCAACTTCTTTAAACATTCATCTGTTTTTTAAAAAAATGTTCATTATAGTATATTTGCTTTACAATGCTGTGTTAGTTCCCACTGTACGCAGAGTGAGTCAGCTATGCGCGCACATGTATCCCCGCTTTTGGATTTCCCTCCCACTCAGGTGCCATAGAGCTCTGAGAGGGTCCCTATGCTGCATGGTGGGTCTTTATTATTACCTGTTTCATGTATAGTAGTGTGTACATGTCAAGGATTTGAGCGCACTCTGGGAGTTGGTGAAGGACAGGGAAGCTTGGTGTGCTGCAGTCCATGGGGACACAAAGACTCAGATGCAACTTTGCGACTAAACAACAACAGCATGTCAGCTATTGACATTTTGGCTGAGATTGTTCTTCCTGTGGAGGACGACTGTCCAACGCCCTGTAGGATGGTGGTAGCTAACCAAAAAAACATCCCCAGGCACGTCCCAGTGTTCCCTGGGGGCAGGAAGCAAAAATCATTCCTGCTTGAGAACGTAGACACACATATACACACTCTATACGTATTCCATATGGGTACATAGCAGACATGTATGTGTGTATAAATGTGCCTATACCTGTGTCCACATGCTTGCATACACAAATACACGTTTATCAGATTTACATGTATGTGTGCATACATGTACACATGTGTGCCTGTATGTTCTGTATACATATTTGCATACTGTGTGAGTGGGGCACAATACTGTGAGGAGCCATGAGCTTGGAGACAGCAGACACACAGGGGACATCAAATTATGTGAAATATTCAGTGAAGTGAAAAGTGAAGTGAAGTTGCTCAGTCGTGTCTGACTCTTAGTGACCCTACGGACTGCAGCCTATCAGACTTCTCTGTCCACGGGATTTTCCAGGCAAGAGTACTGGAGTGGGGTGCCATGAGTGAAGTCCTTCCCAAAACATGCTGTGTATACAGAGACTTGAAGGAAGTAAGGGGGTAACTCAGCAGATCCTTGGATAAGAGCATTAGTACCAGCAAGAACAGAGGTCCCTGAGGGGTGAGACTGGGCAGGAAGGAGAATGCAGGGAGCCCAGGGTTGGGCAGAGGGCAGAAAGTGGAGGAACTGCATTGTGTCATCTCTATCATCATCATCTTCTTTATCATCATCGTCACCATCATCTCATCGTCTCTGGTATCATCTCCGTCATCATCATCATCTTCATTATCATCTCTATCATCATCATCGTCACCATCATCATCTCAGGAACACTTGAGTATTTCTTCCTTTACAGGAATAAGTGAACATAAGTGAAGCCGTTACAGATTGGACCTCAGGATCAGATACATTTGTATTTTTTTTCCCTCCAGGTTGATGAATTGCTACTTCACTTCTGTTTGCTGTGTGGACATCGCTACTGTTCTTATCCATAATGAAAAACTAAAAACCCTGAAACTAGGGAACAATAAGATATACGATGCTGGTGCCAAACAGATATGTAAAGCTTTGAAGCATCCTAAGTGTAAATTAGAGAACCTTGGGTGAGTGTCCATGGATGGTGGGAAAGCTTACCTATTTCAAAAAGAAGAAAAGCTGGAGAATGAAAGGGACGAACGGGATGCAAGTTTAAAAACAAGTGTTTCTGAAACAATCTGTTAAGTAAAATGCCAGTCATGAAACCAGGGCTTGCTCCAGCTTGCCATGGGCTGACATGCGGGACTTAGTGGTTTCATTTTTATATATAATTTTATTTGTTTATTTGGCTGCTCTGGGTCTTCCCTGATGTGCATGGGCTTTCTCTGACTGCAGCCAGTGGGGGTGAGTGGGCCCCACTTTCTAGCTGCAGTGCGCGGGCTTCTCATTGCAGTGGCTTCTCTTGTGGAGCACAGGCTCCAGGGCACATAGGCATCAGTAGTTGTGGCTCACAGACTTGGTTGCTCCATGGCATGTGGGATCTTCCTGGACCAGGGATTGAACCCGTGTCTCCTGCATTGGCAGGCGTATTTTTCACCACTGAGCTACCAGGGAAGCCCTGGGACGGGGTGGTTTCTTGCTGGGGTGGGGGACTGAGCTGTCCTGTGCATTGAAGGAGGTTTAACTGTGGCCTCACTCCACCCACGGGAGGCTAGCAGGACTCCTTGCATGCGTCCAGCGTCTGCAGACACGCTGTGTGCCCCAGGTGAGACCCACTTGCCCAGACTGCGACGTCTCTTCTCAGAGGCGCGGCCTTGGCACCTCCAGGTGGTGGGGATGCCAGCCCACCTTACACCGGTGTGTCCCCCTGTGCAGGCTGGAGACCTGCGAGCTCAGCCCTGCCTCTTGTGAGGACCTGGCCTCGGCTCTCACTGCCTGCAAATCGCTGACTTGCGTGAACCTGGAATGGATCAGCCTGGACTATGATGGGGCGGCGGTGCTGTGTGAAGCCTTGGTCAGTCCGGAGTGTAGCCTGCAAGTGCTCGGGTGAGTGGATGCTGTTCCCTCGGTGGTGAGTGACCCCCGAGGGAGGTGGGACCACTGTAGGCTTGTGCAGTCTTGGCACCATTGACATTTGGGCTGGAGACTTTTTGCTGGGGGTGGCTCTCCTGTGCATCGCAGGATGTTGGTCAAGCGTCTCTGGTCTCCACCCACTCGTTCCGTTCCCTGGGGCACCTCCTTTGAGACATGATGACCAGAAATACAAACTTTAGGCACTTCTTGGTGGTCTGGTGATTAGGCTTCTGTGCTTTCATTGCCGTGGCCCAGCTTCAATCCCTGGTCAGGGAACTGAGATCCTGCAAGCCACATGCGCCGCAACCACCAAGGAAAAAAAAAACAAAACTCTTCCAAACTGCTGAGACAAGATTTTAATTGTTCTTACCACCAAAAGAGAGAGATTGTGTGATCTGGTAGAGATGTTAGCTGACGCTCTGATGGTAATCACTTTGCAGTATATAAACATATCAAACCAATGTTTTGCAACCTTAACCTTACACAATGTTGTATGTCAGGTATATCTCAATAAAATTTTAATTAAATTTTAAAAAGAATGCCCATCATATCTATCCCCTGAAATTTTTTTTAAAAGGCTCCTGGTGTTGTCAAATATCCCCTGATAAGCAGAATCACCCCCAGGCAAGAATGACTCCTTTACTAAAAACACCATCTCCTACTTAATTTGCCCAAAAAAGTGCAACCACAGCTCACAGCCAGGAGGGTTTCCATCAAGGACAGAGCAGCGTCTTGACACAGAAGTACATTTCTTGAAGAGCAGTAGTCAATACTGTTTGGAATATTATGTCTTTTCTTTTTCTTTTAAGCTTTGTATTTTGTATTGGGGTATAGCCGATTAACAAACGTGAGTTTCAGGTGGACAGCAAAGGGACTCAGCCATACACACGCACGTACCCTCTCCCCCAAACCCCCTCCCATCCAGGCTGCCGCATAACATTGAGCAGGGTTCCCTGTGCTCTACCATAGGGCCTTGTTGGTTCTCCATTTTAAATACAGCTGTGTGTCCATGTCCATCCCACACTCCCAAACTCTCCCTTCCCTCCATCCTTCCCCTCTGGCAATCGTAAGTTCGAGGAACATTACGTTTGCATTTAGAGTGTGTGTAGCTGAGTTCCACAGAATGAACATTTGAGTGCCTTTTGTGTACCAAGACCCTGGTGACCTGCAGGGGAGGGACAAATGGTTCACACCCTTCTTTCTCACTGTCCCAGACTCTAGGAAGGATTTTGTGCGTCCTTTGCACAACTGTCCCAGCAAAGAGTGAAGGGGAACTAGCCATCGGGGTGTAGAGAGGGCAGCAGTCATGTATCGAGTCAACACAGCTTCTCTTTTTGTATTTTCCCAGCCTGGACAAATCTTCATATGATGAGGAGATTAAGATGATGCTGACGCAGGTGGAAGAGATGAACCCCAACCTCATCATTTCACACCATCTCTGGACCAATGACGAGGCCAGACTCAGGGGTGTACCTGTCAGACAAGGGCACGTCCTGGAGTAATCTTCTCACCAATGTCCCACCTGGTCACCTTGGCATCTCCCCTCCTGACACATCCTGTCCTATAAATGGTTCATCAGAGCCGGTTGATGATTTTGGAGCTCTTCCTTCACAGTGTTCTAGTGATTCGACTGTGGGGTTGACTGTCTGTGCCCACATCCTCTACCTCCCATTAAAGTTCCTATCCTGCCTTGCAATGTGTAGAAGAAAAAAAAAACATGGGTAAACACTGGGGAAAGCATGACTTTAATTTTCTTACCAGATTTCTTGGGGTGTAGGAGGTTGGGGTTGAAGGAACCATGATCGTCTGACACTTCTGACATAGAACTGCTGCTAGGATATGTCTCTAGATTTTAGAATTTATTCCCTACATCTAACATTCCACCCACACCTTTCACTTTGAGTCTGTCCGAATTTAGTGTTTTTTTTTTAGTTTATTTATTTTAATTGGAGGGTAATTATTGACAGTATTGTGATGGTTTCCGCCGTACATCAGTTTGAATGGGCCACAGGTATACGTGTGTCCCCCTCATCCTGAACCCCCTCCCAGCTCTCCCCCCCACACACCTCCAGGATGTCACACAGCGCCGGCTTGGGTGCCCTGGGTCACACCCCAATCCCACTGGTTATTCTGTTTTACACATGGTAACGTATATGTTTCAGTGCTCTTCGCTCAACTCATCCCAGCCTCACCTTCTCCCACTGAGTCCAAAAGTCTGTTCTTTATGTCTGCGTCTCCTTTGAGTTTTCTGGTTTAGTTAAAAAAAAAAGTGTATTTCAATATCTCTACTTATCCATTAGTACATGCCACTCCATTTTTTAAAAATTCAATATTTTTCAAATGTACCTACACAGTTTAATATTTCTTTTTCAAATATACATCAATACCACACTGACATCATTAAACATTGTCTAGTTCTCTATTGCCAGTACCATAAATTATTAATGCCTTACTGGCCCTATATAGAGTTTTATTTTTGTTGAGTATAGTACATTTTAAAAACTTAATTAGCTGAAGTAGAATTGATTTACAAAGCTGTTTTAGTTTCTTCCATACAGCAAAGTGACTCAGTTATATATATATTTTTCATAGTCCTTTCCATTAAGGTTTATCTCAGGATATTGAATATAGTTCCCTGTGCTATATAATAGGACCTTGTTGTTTATACATCCTATATATACTAGTTTGCATCTGCTGATCCTAAATTCCCAATCCATCCCTTTTCCATTTTTAATAAACTTTAGAGAAGTTTCATATTCACAGCAAAACTGAAGGAAGGCACAGAGGTTTCCCATATACCCCCTGAACCTATACACTCTCAGTTGATCGAAAGAGTTGACAGATCTGATCTTCCCAACCCAGGGACTGAACCTGGGTCTACTGCATTGTAAGCAGATGCTTTCCAGTCTGAGCCACCAGGGAAGCCCCCAAAAGTTAATCCAGTCCAGCTTGTGTTGTTTTTATTTTGCTGCCATTGTTTGAATTGGTAGGCTTATTCTAAAAATATGAAAATGTAAAAAATATAGAATACCCAAAGCAATCTTGAAAAATTGAATGACTTGTTATAATTAACATGTGATTCAGGGTCAGTCTTTTCATCTATTTTGTGAAGTTTCTCTCTTTTTTTTTTTTGCCCAATTTGCCATTGGGTTTTGGCCTTTTTCTCATTTTTAAAGAATTCTGATGCTATCTTTTTGCTGTTGTTCGGTCCCTAATTCCTGTCTGACTCTGAGACCCCGTGGACTACAGCACACCAGTCTTCTCTGCCCATTATCTCCCAGAGTTTGCTCAAACTCATGTCTGTTGAGTCCATGATGCTATCCACCCATCTCATCCTCAGTTGCCTCCTTCTCCTCCTGCCTTCAATCTTTTCCAGCATCAGGGTCTTTTCCAATGAGTCGGCCCTTTGCACCTGTATCTATATATTACTTTTTGCTGAATCCTGTCTGTAGGTTCAGAAATATCACTTGTGGAGATAAGTCCTCAACATAGAGAAGGAAAGTCTGGTTGTCCCACAGGAACCAAGGAGCAGTCTGTCCTCTACCGGGGATCCACACCATCATACCCTGCGAGCTTGTGTACATTCGGGATGCTCACAGACGCTGAGGTGGGATGGACTGGCGTTAAACGGGACGCCCTCCAGGTTTAAGAGACCTCGAGGCTATATGAAGCAACAACTGTGGTAGGTAAGGCCTTTTGACTAAGATCAAGTGTAGTATGAGGTCTTCCCAGGTGGCAGAGTGGTTAAGAATCTGCCTGCCAATGAAGGAGACGCAAGAGATGCAGGTTCAATCCCTGGGTCAGGGAGATCCCTTGGAGAAGGAAATGGCAACCCACTCCAGTGTTCTCGCCTGGGAAATCCGATGGACGGAGGAGCCTCATGGGCTACAGTCCATGGGGATGCAAAGAGTCAGACACGACCGAGCAACTGAGCACACAGCACAGAACATAAGTCAGAGGAGAAACCAGATTCCAGGTCAGATGGAAATGCTCAGTATGAGCTGATCACAGAGGCCAGCTTGGCTTTAGAAACATTAGAGCATTGACAGAAATGGCTCACGGGTGCCTGTCACATTATTCACAGCAGCCGTGACGTGGAGCAACCTACGTGTTGCACTGACAGTTGAATGGATAAAGACGGTATGGTGCATTTATACATACAGTGCAGTGGAATACTACTCAGACATAAAAAAGAATGAAGTAATGTCATTTGCAGCAACATGGCTGGACCTAGAGATTGTCACACGAAGGGAAGTCAGCCAACGACAATATCATGGTAGTCAAGTTCAAGAGGTGCAAAGAGTCCCGTACAGGATAAACCCAAGAGGAAACAGGCAAAGACTCATAATAATCACACTAACAAAGAGTAAACACAAAGAATATTAAAAGCAGCAAGGGAAAAGCAACAAGTAAGTTCTAAGGGAAACCCATACAGCTGATTTTTCAGCAGAAAATTTGGCAGGCCAGAAGGGAATGATAGGATCTATTTAAAGTACTGAAAAGGAAAACCTACAACTAAGATTACCATACCCAGCAAGGATATCATTTAAAATGGATGGCGAAATTAAAAGCTTTTCAGACAAGCAAAAGTTAAGAGAATTCAGTACCACCAAATAAGCTTTCACCTCAGTTCAGTTCAGTCGCTCAGTCATGTCCGACTCTTTGTGACCCCATGAATCGCAGCACTCCAGGCCTCCCTGTCCATCACCAACTCCGGGAGTTTACTCAAACTCAACCCATCAAGTCAGTGATGCCATCCAGCCATCTCATCCTCCGTTGTCCCCTTCTCCTCCTGCCCCCAATCCCTCCCAGCATCAGGGTCTTTTCCAATGAGTCAGCACTTTGCATCAGGTGGCCAAAGTATTGGAGTTTCAGCTTCAGCATCAGTTCTTCCAATGAACACCCAGGACTGATTTCCTTTAGAATGAGCTGGTTGGATCTCCTTGCAGTCCAAGGGACTCTCAAGAGTCTTCTCCAACACCACAGTTCAAAAGCATCAATTCTTCGGTGCTAAGCTTTCCTCACAGTCGAACTCTCACATCCATACATGACCACTGGAAAAACCATAGCCTTGACTAGACAGACCTTTGTTGGCAAAGTAATGTCTCTGTTTTTTAATATGCTGTCTAGGTTGGTCATAACTTTCCTTCCAAGGAGCAAGCGTCTTTTAATTTCATGGCTGCAATCACCATCTGCAGTGATTTTGGAGCCCAAAAGAACAAAGTCTGACACTTTCCACTGTCTCCCCATCTATTTGCCATGAAGTGATG